CTGGGGGAGGGAAGTGGACGGGGTCGTCATACATGCTATGAACACCAGTTTCACCCAAAGTCTCGATAAATGCATTAAATATCCCTTGGGGGGGGATGAGATACAACTGTATGCTTAACTGTTCCATTGAAAGCATTTACCGTATTTTCCGGCGTATAAGACGACTGGGCGTATAAGACGACCCCCAACTTTTCCAGTTAAAATAGAGAGTTTTCCAGTTAAAATATAGAGCTGTGCTGATGCTTCTGGCGTACTGGCGTATAAGACGACCCCCCACTTCTGAGAAGATTTCCCTGGGTTAAAAAGTAGTCTTATACGCAGGAAAATACGGTACATTTGTTGGATTTGTGCCCATTGTCTGAGCACTCAGTGAGTTCCAATCAGCTGGTTAGAAATTAATAGTAATTTGGTCTTCAGAAATTGAGATATACCCTGACCTTCGGTAGTCACATAAGAAGCGCTACCATTTTATTTTTTTAAAGCTGTGCAGCGGAAGTATGATTTCAGCAACGACACATTTTCTCACCCTTGCATGGGAAGCTGTGTCGTGTTCTAAAATTCCTTGTTCTAGCCAGCCGTTAATATTGTGGGAGCCTTGCCCTACTTTTGATCTGCTAATCCTAGAGATAAAAGGCAAAAGAGGCCCCTTGATACAGGCTGAGTCTGTTAAGTTTAAAAGCTACTGCAACAGTAGATGGGGTGAGTTGCCAGGTAGCTAGCAAAGAGTGATGCTAGTCAATGCAAAACATCTGCTTTATAACAATAACTTGTGTTCTGCAAAAGCTAAAAAGAAAATTCTAGTAAGAAATTTGAGAACTACACTAGTGGCAGTGGTAGAAAGTGCCGTCAAGTTGCAGCCAACGTACGGCCAATCCCGTAGGGGTTTCGAGATAAGAGGAGTGGCTTGCCATTGACTGCCTCTGCGTAGCAACCTTGGGCTTCCTTGGTGGTCTCATCCAAGCGCTAACTAGAGCCGGCCCTGCTTAGCTCCTGAGATAGGGTTGCCAGGTCTGGGTTGGAAAATACCTGGAGACTTTGGGGGTGGATCCGGGAGAAGGTGGGGTTTGGGGAGGGGAGGGGCCTCAGCATGGTACAATGCCATAGAGCCCACCCTTCAAAGCAGCCATTTTCTCCAGGGGAGCTGATCTCTGTCAGCTGGAGATCAGTTGTAAAAGCGGGATATCTCCAGGCCCCACCTGGAGGCTGGCAACCCTATCCTGAGATCAGGCTGGTGCTGGCCGTGCAGATTAATATTGTACTTCAAAGGTTGCCTAGCTTTTATTCCTCCACTAGATGTCAGTATGCTGACTCTTAGACATCTTGCCTCCTGTCCCAGCAGTTAGACTGCAAATGTGATATACCTATGCTGTAGCACTATCAGAAGAGTGTTCCTCTTGTCAATATTATCGTTTTTTATCTTTTTAGATGGACTTCACAGCAAGGGTTATAGTGTTTTTTTGCAACTGTTTTTGCTCAGTGGTTTATAAACCCTTACCCTTGAAATGTCACACATTTAATGCTTTCTGTCTATCATGGCTGCCCAACTAAATGTTAAGATGTGCTCAACACATATTACACATTAACTCTGAAAACCTTAGCAGCATATTGTTAGCTAGTTTAGACGTGAGCAGCTTGATATACTCAAATGTTGGGAGTTCGCATATATTGCAAATTTGGGTGCCACGGGAGTCCAGAAGTTGCTCTTGAGATGATGTGGCAACTGATGATAAATAATGTCCTGAAAAAGCTCTGCAGATCTGTTGTGTGACTTCAGCTGCCTATCTCTTGCTTGGCATTGCTACTCAGATGCAATGAGGTCTGAATAAGGAACAGCCTGCTCTGCAGGGTTTTTTTTTGCCTAACTTTGAAAGAGTTCTCATTTTTATCATCAATATATGTTTTAAATACAAAATGCTTTTTGGTCTCCAGTTCAATTTATTTGTTTAAAATGCAAGGTCATTAAAGGGGGGGGCAGAATGCCACAAATGGGCCCCTACTCCATCTCAGTTGGGAGATCTGGAGGCCACGTTTCTCTCTGGTCTGTGGCTTGGGTTGAAAAGGAGCTGGCTGAATGTGGTGTGGCACTCTGGAATTCTCATCTTGTGACAATGTGCAGTTCACAGGGGGCAGATTGGTCCTCTGAAGTCATAACTCTAAAACTGACCAGATGGGACGGGAGCCATTTAAACCTCTACCTTGCACCATCACCAGGGCCATTGCCTAGTGAGAGAGACCAGGCCACTTCTCAAAATCTGCCCAGATGAGCGGGGGCCCTTACTAATGCATCAAGACCAGCACCCCCTTACTAGATTTCAGTTTTACCCTGTTTCCTGGGCAGCTCTGTCCTCAACAGGTCTTCCATCATTGGATGTTATGGACCATTCCTTCCACACTGGGGCCATTACTGCAGTGGCATTCTGGGTGTTGCCCAGCTCTGTGAAAGAACAGTGGGCAGGTGGTGGTCTTCTGCATTCAGATCTTATTTGCGGCCACACGTGGTAGCCTATTTCTAACTTTTTATTTTTCTAGATTCCGTGGTTAGAAGGAAGGCCATGTGGATTTGCGGGCACAGCATTGTGCACTGGGGGAAGCTTCATACAGTGAGGTCTGGATGGGGGCTCCAGCTCGGGCTGGGGGAAGCTTTGGACATCATGTGGCTGGGCTGATGGGGCATGCACTGGGAAGACCTGATGCCAACCCTTGCCAAGGCTGCTGCCCACCAGGGCCATCCAGATGCTCTTGTCATTCCGCTGGGTGAAAACAACTGAAGTAGGTAGTTGGGTGGCTCCCTGCTGTGTGACGCCAGAGGAGACCTGGGGCAACTCCAGCGCTGGCTTCCTGGCATCAAGATCATTTGATCCAAGCTCCTGCAGAGGAGACACTTTTGGGGTGCACAAGACCCCCACGAGAATCAGTTGTGCATGGAGGAAAGTCAGCAAGTGCTCCAGGCCTTTGTTTTAGCTCACGGTGGTGGAGGGATTGGGCACCTGGCAATTTCTCACAAACAGTCTAGTCTTTACAGACCGGATGGTGTACACCTCTTGGCAGAGGGCAACGATCTCAGAACTGGATTGATGTGTATATTGCAAGTTCCTTTGGTTTGGTGCTGGAGCCAGGCAAGCTAAGTTGCCTGCCTCCTGTAGTGTGTAGGCATTGGCTGTGGAACATAAGCCCTGACCTGGATAGCCCAGGCTAGCCTGATCTCATCAGATCTCAGGAGCTAAGCAGGGCCAGCCCTGGCTAGTATTTGGATGGGAGACTTCCAAGGAATACCAGGGTTATGACACAGAGGCAGGTAATGGCAAACCACCTCTGAAACATCTCTTGCCTTAAAAACAAGTCTAGCTCACCACCTAGTGGAGCATAACACGAAAAAAGCTAGAACTTCTGGCTGCCAGACAATCTTAGGATCTCCTGGCTATACTATACACACTGCCATATGATAATAATTATTATTATTATTGTGGAACATTGTGCAGGGTGGGCTCACTGCATGACAAAAAGAAGAGTCTCCTTAAGGGGTTGGGAGGACAGGGGGCAGGACAGCCAACCTCGGGGCTGATGCATTGGCTGGGCCTCTAGGAGGATGGTGATGGCTACGAATGAAGGTTTCTGCCAATTCCAGCCCTAATACCAGCCCTCTGTCCTTTGTTACTCAACAGGTGGGTTGGGAAGGTGCAGACAGCAGTTGAGCTGTCGGCTGCATCCGTTGTGTACCTCAGCTGTGCCAAGACCTGAGGAATATGTGATCAATAAAGTTGTGGCCTGATGCCTCCCAGGATGGTGTGTTTGTGTCGTCCTTCTCTCCCCCTGCCATGGACTGATCCTTACTCCAGGCACTGACTTGGACAGCAGAGGCTAGCCTGATCTTGCAAGCTAAACCACGTCGGTCCTGGCTAGTATTTGGATGGGAGACCACTTAGGAATACCAGGGTCGTGACACAGAGGCAGGCAATGGCAAACCAACTCTGAATGTCTCTTGCCTTGAAAACCCCACGGGGTCGCCATAAGTCAGTTGTGACTTGACAGCAACAACAACAAAAATTTCAGGGAATTAAAGCAGGAAAAACTTTTTGAAGTTGGACCTCCCCTTCCAAATTACCGATCCACTTTTAACTTCTTTGATTTATAAAGCAATGTTTGTATTACTGTAATAAGAAATATTTCATATTCCCAAATGCAATATAGAAAATACCAAAGATGTCCTTTCTTTCTAGCCATGAGTGCTAATTTGGGTTAATTTACGGTCTACCTTACAGAACTGCCTCGTTGGGAGTCTGAAATACTTGGTATTTTGCATGATGTCAATTTATTCACATCTTAAGTATTTAAAAGCTGATAATCCTACATCAATTTAATTGTGAGGAAGTGCAGAAGCGGTAGGTGTGATCACTACTTAAATTTCTCAAGTGTGAATCTTGTCAGAGACTTTTTAACAAGCAGGGAGAATCAAAGGCCATGGGGGAAACCTGAAACCGGCGCATTCAGCATCCTTGGGGAATGCTTAGCTCCCCCAGAATAACCCATTTTTGTGTACAAACAAAATGTGATGCTAATCCAGGAGCACAAGAAGTAGCTCTCATTTGGTGACTGATCGGTTCACATCAGAACATTTCAGAGTTATCTGGAGGGTGGGCAAATTCAAATGTAATTTAAGTTAGGAATCGAGCAGGCAGAAGCTGTCCAGGGTGTTCTTGTAACTGCAGAACTCCTCTACGACTCCCTGTTCTTCTAGCTGCTGTGTACCCAAAACAAATCAGTTTCTCTTGTCTCTAGTTTGTGCCCCCCCACCCACTTATCAGAAAGAGTGATGAGTTACAGTAGTACGAAAATCAAAGAAAAACATGCTCATTTGCACAGTCTTAAAAATAAACCTCCTGATTGCAGCGTATGTTTTTCTAGGTGTAGGGTTACTTAAACTGGACAGCCAAAATATTTCTTGGCTTGCTTTGTCCTGGATTATAGGAGGGCTTTTGATTTTTGCTACGTACATGGACTTCTGTGTTGCGCACTTCATGCACTTGCAACTTAAAAATAAGTTAGAAAATACTTGCTCTAAGAATTTTCATCCCTTCATTGGATGGCAGACAAGAGCCGGCATCTCCAAAGCCAGAAAAGGAAAGGCCCGCCTTGTACAGACAGCTCTGTGCCCTGACACAATGGCTCCAGTATAAAGTCTTGCTGGGCCCAGTGCTTGAAAGCAACAGAACAAAGAAACACCAAGTGGCTGTTTTTGAGACCAAAGAATATTGAAAAGGCATCCAGGTCATCTTGTGATGGAGAAGTTTAAGGCTGCTCTGTTGCTGGCAGGGGTCGGGGATGCTCTAGGCTATCGAAACTTCACCCGGGAAAACAGCGCTTTAGGTGCAAAGATCAAAGAGGAACTGAAGGAAATTGGAGGACTTGAGAACCTAGTGCTGTCCTCTGACAAATGGCCTGTGAGTGACAATACTATTATGCACATGGCTACAGCGGAGGCTCTCGTTACAGGTAGGAAAAACTAAGCAGTCCGGGTGCACGTTTGGATGGAGGAAAGCAACTGGAGAAGAGCTATAATCCCAGTGCCCTGCTAGTTGAACAGTGAGATTGTGCTGTAATGTTGGTTGAATGTCAGTGCTCTATAAGATGCTTTGCGTTTTCCTCTTTAGTTTAGTAAAATTGCCGTAGTGGCTGAAGTGAATGCTGTGAGGCAGGAAGCCCTGTTACAGAGTATCCATAAAAGTACTAGGTGGCTTTATATAAGCCACAATTAGTTCCCCGACTTTTAATACGAGGAAGATAATACTGGTCGACTTTATATGATTGTTGTAAGCATTACAGGGATAAGCAGTAGGTGGCTTTATATAAGCCACAATTAGCTCCCCGACTTTTAATACGGGGAAGATAATACTGGTCGACTTTGTATGATTGTTGTAAGCATTACAGGGATAACATTATGTGAAACAGTTGGACCTCAAGATTTCTTCTGTTTTTATTAATATTGCCATTCATGGTTAATAATGTGGCCATATTTATTACCTTTCTTCTTTAGTTCTCTAAATATGCAATATGATGCACATTCTGTTATGTGGGGTGCATTGGTGCGAACTTGCCTTTAATGAAAAATGGATAGAGGAAGGAAAACATTAGATCTTGTCTTTAGGAAATAGTTACTAGTTTCTGTATAGTATAAAAGGAGATTCACGTCTGAGTAAAAATGGATCTGAAAGTCATATTAACCTAATTGCATTTTACAGTGCAATTTCTGTATACTATTTTAGTGTACTATTTTGGAGCCAGTTCGGTGTAGTGGTTAAGTGTGCGGAGTGTAATCTGGAAACCTGGTTTGATTCCCCACTCCTCCACTTGCAGTTAGTGGATTACCTTGGGCATGCCATAGTTCTGTCAGAGCTGTTCTTGAAAGAGCAGTTCTCAAAAGAGCTCTCTCAGCCCCACCTACCTCACAGGGTGTCTGTTGTGGGGAGGGGGAGGGAAAGGAGATTGTAAGCTGTTCTGAGATTCCTTTGAGATTCCTTCTTCTATTTGACAACTATTAAGATGACATTGCAGAACAAAACATCAGTAACTTTTCATAAGGACAACTGCATATGTCAAATTATGTATTGCATTTCTCTTTTGCTCCCAATTTTCTTTTCTAAAAATCAAAACCATCAATGCAGTTTTCACTCATGCCCAGCTCTTATCTGACTGCTGCTGAGAGGTACTAAATTTAGCTGGCAGAGGTCTGTTGAAGAGAATCTTGGATAGTTCATGTCTAGCTGCTGGTTAGCCAATGATGTGAAGGGGAGCTAATACTCTAAAGATAATGGCAAGAAGTCAGCCTATCCAGGGAAGGGATGACTAACATACTTCTGAATATAGTCTGTGATTAAATGCCCATCACATGTTTCCTACTCTTGACCTCTGTAGGAGCATAAATGTTATCTACAAGTCTTATCAAGAGGGTTTGCAACCATTTTTAGTTATGCCAGCCATAGAATAGCAGGTTATTATACCTCTGTCTATTGTATATAGCAGGGCAGCTGCTGTGTGAAAATACACTTAGCTCTTGAACGACTGGGGGGATTCCATAACTCACATGTGTATCATTATAATAGTTTAATACCTATGCGTAGCCATGAATTATTTTCTCTGTGTCTGAGAGAGAAAGAGCAAGAAATGATAAAAATGCTTATTTGAGTTATACCATATGATTTTCTATTTTTAAAAAAGTGTTGTGGAGAAAGCATTCCTGAGCCACACAGGAATAGTAGAGGTGGCGTCACACGTTGTCGTCACCTGCCATTGGGTCAGAGCAGTACTAAATAAACAAATGCATCAAATATGGTCTCCAGCTATGGGCTCTGTTCCCTTCAGTTTCTTTCCTTTATAATATTTTAATTGGTTGTCATGCTTTAGAGATTAGGAGCTACACAACTCTTCCGCTCCGCCACTTGGTGAACTGTGTTTTTAGTTTACATTTTTTTAAATCTTCTATCATGGCTGCACTTCCTCGAGCTCTATTGGGGGTGTGTGTGGCTTAGCTAGCCCTTCCAACAGTGTCAACAAGGAACTCCCTTATTTTCATTTACCTTTTGTAACTGGTGTCCATTAAAAGATTGAGGAATGAACTGGAAATCCATGTTTAGGTAACTGTTTACCTATTTATGTACTTAGTTTTTTGAACTTTACAAACTCTCATCTAAAGGTTTCCAGGGTGGCTGAAGGCAAATACTAGAATACAGTCAATCAAAATGAACATTAAAAACTGTCTGCCGTAAACCACTAGAACAGATTATATAAAAACAAAGTCCCAGCAGTTTAAGGAAGGATCACTTTATGAAATAAGAGTAATTTGAAGTCTCTCCACAATGTGTTGCTAATATAGATGTGTGCATTATTTTATTTGGAGGAATTTTAAGGGCTCCTGAGAAGTGCTTTGTAATCCTCACAAATTTACTGAGCAATAAAAACAACAAAAGTCTTCCAAGTCCACTGGAGTCAACGGATTTAGAAAGGGATAACTCTGCTTATGATGGAACTGAAGGAGTCTTCTGACACTTTTAAATTCTAACAGATTTGTTGGTAGCATAAATGTTAATGAGTTAGAGCCCCCTTCAGCAGGTGTATAAAATGAAACCTGTAGGTATATATTTACTCATACACATACGCAAAGGGAGAGGAAAATTCCAAAAAGTGGAGTTAAAAAGCCATGAAATGCAAGAGATACAATTTGCAAAACTCAAACACAGGGGCCATTTGCAATAGCTGTAACTAGTGATCACAGTCTTTCCTTAGAGTCACAGACTGGGACTTCTGGTTTATGGCGACACGCTAGCGGACGCGTCTCCCGGACCTCCTGGGAAGCGATCCGCGCACCAGCGGTTGGGAGGGGTGGCGATTGTCCACCACTCCTCCGGAGCCTTTGTGAAAGGCTCCTAGCCATGGGGCTTTTGAAGGGTGGCCTCTTCGCCAGCGTGTTGCTGGAGAATTGAGGCGCTCTTCTGCCCTGGCGGTCCTGCCGCTGCTGCGTCCATAATGGAACCAGAGCTGCCGACTGGGACAAGCATTGGAGATCGGGCATATAAAACATACCTTGAGTGAGGTCTCCGGATCACCAATGAACAGTGAGTCGAGTAAAAGCGAAATGGCAGGAATTTAAAAGAAAGCCCCCCTGGGAACGACGGGACAAGTGAGCAGGGGAGGGGCCCCTCCCATACACATAAATATAACAGCGATTTCCCAAGCGAGAGCTGAAGTTTAAGCGTTGAAATATGAAGATATCAACCAGGGGAACTTCCGGTTTATGGCGACACGCAGGCAGACGCATCTCCTGGACATCCCGGGGATGCAAACTGCACACCAGCGTGTAGGAGGGGGTGCGATGGGTCGACTCGTGCCCCCCCCCCCCGGAGCCTTGGTAAAAGGCTCCTAGCCAGGGGGATTTTGAGGGACGATCTCTTCGCTGGTGTGATGCCAGAGAATTGAGGCACTCCTCCGCCCCAAAGGTCCTGCCGCTGAGTGACCACATGGTACTAGTGCTGCTGACCAGGACAAGCGTCGGAGATTGGGCAAGAAAAAATGATGCCGAGCGAGGCCGGCTGGCCAACAAAGCAGAATACCTTGTAAGCGAAATAGATGTGGTTTATAGAGCCTATTTCGTTTATATCAAGAAAAATAATTTGCCTGGAGAGATAGTGGTCAGATTCTTGAAGAGACATGTGAGGGATCAAATCCTGAAAGCAACTATAGGAACGCCCTTGAAAATTGCAGGCAACACTATCAGGATTCTAAAAGACATTCCATTTGAAATAAGGAAGAAGAGGAAGAAGTATAAAGACTTGATTCTGTTTTTGCAAACAAACAGCATTCCCTACAGATGGTTGACCCCCGAAGACATCATTTTTAAACTGCAGGAAAAAATTGACTCTGTTTCCAAAGTGCGTGAGTTCCTGAGACTGCAACTGGGAGAGTCAGGTGAGGACGGCAAGGAAGAAGAAGACAGCAAACCTAGTGATGAAATGGACTCCGCTACTTTCGATGAGGACTCTGCTTCCAAAAAGGGAGCGGCAGCCCCAAACAATAATATCAATTGAGGATTATAAAAGATAAAACAAAATGAAGGCTGAAGAACTCTGATCTGTGCTTTGAAGTTTTTAACGATGCTCTTGTGATTTTCTTTAAACAGTTAAACTAATGGTTTTAAAGATAAATAATATTGCTTAATCGACCATGTTCAATGTAATTTTAGCATTTTAGACTAACACTGATATAAGCTTTTGCAATGATCTCCTATACTTGGGTTTTTAGTAGTTTTCTTTCCTTTCTCTCATAGATGTAGTTTCCCCTTCCCCTTTTCCGTTGTAGTTTATAGAAAAATGCAATAAAAAATCCTCTACAGGGAACAAAAAAAAAATGAGTCACAGACTGAACCAATGCTGTATTATCACTAGTTACAGCTGTTGTGAATAGATACTGTGCTTTTTTGTGTTTGCACAATAGACATTGAAATGTCTATCCCACTGAAACTTGATACTTGGCAATAATGTTAATTGAACATTCATTGGGATTTCTGAATAAGCACACAGAAGGATTGTACTGTACACGTGCCACCATCAGAACCATAATTGTCTAAAGGTAAACTCTGAAGTAACACCTAAGGGTAAAAGTTGCTAATGTGTGTTCTTAATCATACAATTTCATTTGGTATATTTTCTGTGGAATTAAAGTCATAGAGCTTTTTATATGAGCAGGAAATGCTTTTGACCTTTAATCTTCAAAGAGAGTTCTTAGTCATCAGTAATGGTGAACATCCAATTGCAAATGTTGTAAGACACCTTAATGTTGCTGCATATTAAGGATTAAGTTGGATTTGTTCAGTCTTTAGGAGTTTGTTTTAGATAAATTTGTAGAGCCAGTTGGGTGTAGTGGTTAAGAGCACGGACTCTAATCTGGGAGAACTGGGTTTGATTCCCCACATCTCCACATGCAGCTGCTGGTGTGACCTGGGG